TTTTTTCCAGAATGAAATTAATTATTTTAAACGGCATAATTAAAAACGATACAGTGCATTCATCACCTCTTTCCACACCTACGTTTGTCTCATCATTTATTTTTCCTTCTGAATTTGATTTCCCCTCCCATTTTCGCGCCTTTCTTATTTACTGATTAAGTCCTGCAAGTTCAGAGACAAGACAAGAAGTATATTGGTTTGTTATCGTCCAATAAAACATTGGAAATTTCCTTGCACGTGATTTGTTAAAATCCACAGTGCGTTCTACTTCATTGGACATTCTTGTAGGTTACACCCTACATAACGCGTATTGGGCGTGATTCCTTTCTGAACTATGTCACAATCGCAAATCAGAGATAACAAAACTACTTTAGCGACCACTCCACCAGCAATGCAGCTAAATCTAACATAAGCTTTTTAATAACTGTTATAACGTTTAATTGTGCAAAGTTATCACGAGTTGTTCGAAAACCACACAGATTACATATGACTAATAGGTTTTATTTACAATAGTCTATTTACAAAAAAAAAGTCTATTTACAAAAAAAAAGTCTATTTACAAAAAAAAAAAGTCTATTTACAAAAAAATTTACAATCTATTTACAAATTTACAATCTATTTACAAAACCAGGAGGAACACAAAACTGTGCACGAAATTAGCAATGTTCTACACATATCACCGATAATTGTCTCTTGCATAATTAAAGTGCATCGGGAGACTAATTCCTTGTCTACAAAGAAGTCGCCGGGTCCACCCACGAGTACGACTGCACAAGATGATGCTCAGCTGACGATAGGGTCCGTCCATATCCTTACTCTGGGAGAGGGTTAGTATCCTGACCAATAGCCAGCTAAGTTCGCGACCTTATTCAGGCGATCAGGCATACTTGCCACAACAGTTTCACAAAGTATGCCTGATCATAGGTTCTCCCAACAACCTTGGACGACTTGCCAAAGGTCGCTGGGAGTCGACGCCTGAATAGGTTCGCGAACTAGCTCACTCCAGATGTTTTCTATTGGGTTCATATCAGTCCCTCTCCCAGGCCACCGCATGTCCTGCACCTGAGAATGCACTTGTATCCAGTCCGTCGTTATTTTGGCTGTATGGACCGGGGAGCAGTCATGGACGAACCAGAATGGCTCTTAGCCGTACAGGGCCGCTACTGATGGTACCAGCACGTCTTCCAAAATTTCGACGTACTGTACGGTGTTCAGGTTTCTGTCGACCGTGACCAACTCTCCCGGCCCTGCGGCACTCATCTAACCCCAGACACCTGCAAACAGAAAAGTCCACATTCAGGTTGTTCTGTATAACACATGAAAATTCCGGTTTAAAACAACAAATTAATAGCCTGCAAGGCTCATGACAAATACACAAATTATGAATACTCACATAACGAAAATCGACCGCTTCGTTGGGTGCGCCACACGTATTGTTCGTCGTACCGTGTGGAAGGCGGGCGACACACTCAAACGGTCTCGGTACTCTCGGAGCAGAAGACCTTCTCGTCCGAAAAGATGACAGCCGACCACTGGTCGGCTGTCCAATTGATGTGGTCTTCTGCAAACCGGAGCCGGTCAAGTTTATTGGCTGGGGTCAGGTTTTGTTTTTGTGCCGCTCTTCTTCCAAACAACTTGTTTTCTCTCAACCTATTAATGAAATAAATATATATGTAATATCCTGCTTTCTACATTTCTGTATATGCAAGAACATGTTACTAATGTATTCGAAGGACTTGTGACTACTATCATACAAATGTTACATACCGTCTTTTGACAGTGTCCTTTGACACATTCAGGTGCAGTTGCTCTCGGAGCATGGTGGAGGTAGCGAACGGATCCGCCCGACTGGTCGACGCCAGCTGAGCATCTTGTTCTGCAGTCGTACTCCTGGGTCGGCCCGTCGACTTCTTTGGAGACAGGGAATTCGTCTCTCGATACAGCTTAATTATTCGAGAGACAGTTCTCGGTGATATGTGAAGAATGTTGCTAATTTCGGCGACAGTTTTGTGTTCCTGGTTATGACGTATTACTAACTCTCTGATATCCTTACTAACAGGTTTCGGCATTGCAAACGAATTACGCCAGGACGGTTGCAACGCCTTTATATACTTGTCGCACCGGATATGAATGCGACTGTAATGGTAGGTAGGTGCGGACCTACAAATTACCATGTCTGCATGCAGAATACCGATTAATCGGCATTATATCCTGGAATATTTGGAATATATCGTGGAATAGAAATATTTGTGATATATCGTGGAATACAAGTAAATGGAATATATTGTGGCATACAAATATTCCACGATATAATTAATCGGTATTCTGCATGCAGACATGGTAATTTGTAGGTCCGCACCTATCTACCATTACAGGCGCATTCATATCCGGTGCGACAAGTATATGAACGCTTTGCAACCGTCCTGGAGTAATTCGGTCGCAATGCCGAAATCAACCAGTCCAGATATCAGAGCCCTTCGGATTGCAATGACAATTTCTATTGGTCAAGAAACATTGCTTGATTATACACAATTCAAGTTTGCAAAAACGTTTTCTTATCTCTACATCTTTATTACATATATGTTAATAAAATATATTGGCATCTTATAAACAGATCTTATTGTATGTGAATATGTTTTCATTATATCGATTAAATCTAAATATTACATTTGAATCGAGCTTTGTATAATTGGTGATTATTCACGGATCCCATGATATGTCATTTGTTTCATTCTATACTACTTAAGTAATAACTAGTTTTATATCATTTAATTTTTGTTCATATGTTTTTAATTATGTTTTATATATAACGTGATCGAAGCTACGAATGGAACCTTCCCACGCATCACATAGAATGTTTACGGGAACGACATCATTGCAGGCATGAAGTTACCTTTAAAGTTGTTTATCCGGGAAAGAGGCCAATCAGAAACCATTGTCCACGTATTACAAATAGGGTTTCTCAAACGGGATCCTGGTTGTCGTTTTAAACCGGGACATTTCCCGGGAAATTTGTCTCATCCCAGGATATTTCGCAAATTTCTTAAAAAGTCACTTTTTTCTGACTTTGTGTAACCATTGAGGAAATTTGGTATATAGAAAGCGTATTTAACTCAAAAACTGTCAAAATGCATTTGTTTTTATTACCTTTAAACCTACTTATTATATTTTAAACATTTTTGCTGGCTATGGCATGTCACAAATGGTCAATAATCATTGCGTAGATTATTTGTGGCAAGACTCTCAAAATTATTTACATGTAATGTGGAATAATTGATTACTCTGTCCTAATTTTTAACCATGCCCAGTAGCTTCAGTAACTGCGTAGTGCCAAGTTGTGCAAATTCGGCAAGGANACATTCGAATCGAGCTTTGTATAATTGGTGATTATTCACGGATCACATGATATGTCATTTGTTTCATTCTATACTACTTACGTAATAACTAGTTTTATATAATTTAATTTCCGTTCATATGTTTTTAATTATGTTTTATATTTAACGTGATCGAATCTACGAATGGAACCTTCCCACGCGTCACATAGAATGTTTACGGGAACGACATCGTTGCAGGCATGAAGTTACCTGTAAAGTTGTTTATCCGGGAAAGAGGCCAATCAGAAACCATTGTCCACATATTACAAATAGGGTTTCTCAAACGGGATCCCGGTTGTCGTTTTAAACCGGGAAATTTGTCTCATCCCGGGATATCCCGCAAATTTCTTAAAAAGTCACTTTTTTCTGACTTTGTGTAACCATTGAGGAAATTTGGTATATAGAAAGCGTATTTAACTCAGAAACTGTCGAAATGCATTTGTTTTTATTACTTTTAAACCTACTTATTATATTTTAAACATTTTTGCTGGCTATGGCATGTCACAAATGGTCAATAATCATTGCGTAGATTATTTGTGGCAAGACTCTCAAAATTCTTTACATGTAATGTGGAATAATTGATTACTCTGTCCTAATTTTTAACCATGCCCAGTAGCTTCAGTAACTGCGTAGTGCCAAGTTGTGCAAATTTGGCAAGGATACAAACGAGTACGAAGTCTGCAAGTATGAAGTTTCTCTTCTTAACCTGATTATTAAAGACAAACGAACTGCCGAATTATTGGGCTATGATGTTTCTATTAAAGCAGTCGAGGTAGACAAATCAAGAATACTAGAGAACAAAAGAAATACTACAATTTCGAAAACGAACTAGAAATCGTTCAGGATACTGGTGAAAAACACATAATATTTGTCTTCTCTTAAATGCATTAAACACGATTCCACTCACATCAATTGAATCGGAAAGGCCATTCTCGGTAGCAAGGCTTTTTATTAATAAAGTAAGAATTACATTGAGTGATCGGAGTATTGGCCGTCTTTGCTTTATAAATCTTGTAAACATTTACAATATTTTCTATTATATTTTATTTAAAACCGAAAACTAATATTTAAGTTAGAAGTTTGATCTAAGTTCATATTTTAAAATTTTTACGTCAATTCAAAGAATATTGTTGGTGTTGTTGTATGCAGTTTCCAGCAAACTGTATTAATTTTTTTTATATGTGAACATTTCTACGTTATTCAAAAGTAATTTTTAATATACATCTTACCCAGCATTATTAATATCATTTTTGAGGTTCCAGAACGTCATAAATTATTTTAAAAAACGAAAAATAATTATATCATTTGATTACATAATATTTTGTATATATGAAAAGTAATTAATTTTGTCCCGGGATTTCCCGGGATCCCGAGTAACAATTCCCTGTTATCCCGGAATCTTGGGACAAGTAAAAGACCGGGTAATGAGAAACCCTAATTACAAATAATAAATATACCCACTTTTTTACATTTGTAATGAAAATGGTTTAATTAATCAAAAGGTATACATGTTTTAGCGCGTGATTTCGAAAGAAGCTTTCTAATGAAGGGGTTAATGTGCATTGCTGGCAGATTGGTCGCTTACATATATTTGTTATGTCTGATTCGCAAGTTAGATATAGTTCGATAACGATTCACGGCCAATACGGTTTATGCAGGGTGTGACATACACGAATGTCCAATCAAGCAAGTAGAACAAGGCGTGGCTAACACCTTTTAACAAATCATGTTCAAGGATATTTACCATTGTTTTATTGGTTAGTAACAGACCAATACACTTCGTGTTTTGTCTCTCAACTTGAAAAACTTAATCCGTACGCACTTTAAACGTGACAACACATAAACGGAAAATACATTTAAGGATATAAAACTAATTTTCACATATTTACAAGGAGTATAGAAGTAAAGAAATGAAATAATATGTTATCCGTGAATATTAACAAGTTATAAACGGGTCAATTCGAATATAATATAAATATAAATACAATATAATAAAAAAAATCGCATACAATAACATCTGTTTATAAAACGGCAATATATTTTATTAGTATATATATAATATAGATGTAGAGATATGAAAACGTTTTTGTAAAGTTGACATGTATAATCAATAAATATTTCTTGAAGGAAAGAAATTGTCATTGTATTTTTAATTCATTAACTTCGTAAAAGTATCATTTAAAACAATTCGATTTAATACGTGATAAAAGCAATTTCATAACCGAAGTGGAAATAATTTATAACAAAGGAATTAAAAGTAAACAGTTTTGACAAAACTGATTGTTAAATATCTAGGACAACATTCTGCTCAATGCAATTAAACAGTGACCTTGACATCTGACTGTACAGTATTAGATACTCAGCTGAAAAGGTTATTTAAAGCTTGTCCAAGTAGTGTTTCTACATTCGAACTAAGAATGGAGAATGTAAGCAGCACGATTGACCTTAACACAAGCAACATCTGATAGGTTGAGGTTAATAGTATTTTACCTTGGTCAAACCCAGTGATAGATGTTGATTTAAGCTTGAAGCAGTTTCCTAAAGAAACCATGCCAGACTGTGTCTACAGGCAGCACTTTGCAGAAATTCAAAATCGTGACAGGAATTTGTTTTTTTTTTTATTCTGATGGATCAAAATCAGATAGTTATGTTGGCTTAGCCTTTGTTTGCCAAAATGAAATTGTGGCAGAACAAATAGCATTGAATTTTTCCATCTTTTCTGCAGAGTTGCAGGCTATTTATTTAGCCCTAAAATACATAAATAGAAAAGGTCATCATTGCTGCGTGATTTACACTGACTCAGTTAGTGCACTTCAGGCTTTGATCTCATATGAACCTAGTTTTCACTTTATAGTTTTTAAAATTCAGAAACTAATTTGTCATCTTGTTGCAAGGCATTTCTCTATAAAATTTTGTTGGGTCCCAGGCCATGTAGGAATAAGAGGAAATGAAGAAGCTGATGCAGCAGCAAAGTCAGCTAGTTTCTCACAGCATGAAATGCCTATCGAAGGAAGTGATTTGAAGCTAGTTGTTAAAAAATGACTAGCAGAGAAATGGCAAAATATGTGGAATACACAAATTTACAATAAACTATACGAGATAAAGCCTTTGATAGAAAATTGGACACACAAGAAATTTTATGAGAGGAGATCTGGGGTTGTCTTTACTCGTTTGAGAATTGGACACACTTGACTGACTCATCAATACTTTTTGAAGGGAGATGATGAACAGGTATGTCAGTACTGCAACTGTACTGTTAGTGTTAAACACATATTTAGCAACTGTGTTGCTTTTGATCAGAATTGCAGACAGCATTTCAGAAATGCAAGCTTTAGAGACATTTTGGGCCAGAGGCCAAATCTGGGTAATATACTGGACTTTCTGAAAGTCATTAATATATATAGAGAAATTTGATGATTTATTTATTGTACAGTTTTATTTACTTTATGTTGCCTATTTAAACTATTGTGTATATATTTTTTGTTGTTGTTGTTTATTTATTTATTTATTATAATTTAGATTTTATATTTATATTACCATTGGCTTTGTAATGGTTAAATTTGTATGTGTCGTTTGTGTATATATGTGTTTTTCTATTTATTTTATTTCTCCAATTGTACCATGTGTCATGGCACAGTATAGCCTGCATGGCTTTTGTGTCAGTAAAAGTTAACCAACCAATTAATTGATGTTTTTTTTTAAAACCGGAGTTGTAGTAAAAGGGGGTCGCCTTCCTGTTAATGATGTAATTACGCGCGAGCGCAAACAAATTTTTGGTATGTTTGCACGTTTCAACTCGT